ACTTGATGTAAAGCGTGTGGCACCCCTCGCAGGCGCCGCTCAGGCTGAACGGGTGCCACTGCAAGAGAGACAGTTCGGGGATATTCACAAAGACGTACTGCCCAGGCGCCGCCCTCAGCGCCGCGTGGCGGAAGCTCAGCTCCACAAACGATCCGCTCGCAACGGCAGACACCACTTCCACCCTCGACGTGCTCCGGTGCATCCGCAGCAGGCGATCCGCAAACCACACCGTCAGCCCGGGCAGAAAGTACTCCCACGCGGCAGCAGCGTGCCACAGCACCGCAGGGGCAATCATGTAGAAGGACAAGACGTGCAGGTAGTAGAACAGCTCAAAGAACCTGCGTCGCACCGGCTCAAGCGCAAAAACGCCCACAGCCACAAGCATGAACCACGTCGTCAGCGAAATCAGCGGAACAGTGAAGTTGTTACCGTGCACAGGAGGGTCCAACGTCGGAACGGAAAACACAGCACGTGGAAAGTTCCCCGTCTCGCCATAGAAGAAATACCAGGCAACCATGTGGCCAACCGTCGCAAGCAGCATCCCGTACCCCAGCACCCTGTGAACCCAGAGCGAAGACTCCCACGAGGTCCCCAAGATGGAGTGCAGAACCGAAAAACGAGTCGCCGGAAAAATCAACAGCGACAGCAACGCAACCGCCAGCTGTCCAAGCGAACGAGCCCAGCGCTGGGAGGCCTTCACGCCCGCAGCACTCTCTCCAGTAAAGGACGTATTAAACTTATGGCACTGTATCCAGTACAGGAAGAACAGCAGCAGCATCGCCACCGTCAAGGCCGCAAAGCCTGCCTCGCCCCAGGTAAAGCCCCGCAAAAGGGGGCACCGTCGCTTCAGGAACCTGCGCCCGCTGCGGCTCGCACGGACAGCGGTGACGATCAGCAACAGGACAAGAAGGTACGAGAAGAAAAAAACGTTGCTCGGATACATCTTCAGCACCAACACTTCGCTCCACACCCAGTTGCGTGTGGACACCCACGACCACGGAAGCTCCGGACATGTGAACTGGCCCCACGCCGTTTGGCAGAGCGTGTAGTTCCCTGTGGCGCGCAGCTGTGCGTTCTTCGCAATTCCGCTCGCCGAAAAATGTTCCCACGAGTTGGGGAGGTAGAAGGCAATGCACGCCCAGCAAGCAACAAGGACGAAAGCAGCTGCGGCGAGGGGAACTGCACGCACCCGCTTCACGCCGAGTACCTGGCGCCTTGGCGCAAGCCCACGGCGATCGACGCCGGTCGCCCTCAGGGCCACCTGCAGCAGCATCATGAGGCCCATCGGCGCAAGCGAGAAGAACACCGTGATGCCAATGGTCGAAAGGAAACCGGTGCCAGCCTCCGGCCTCATCCCAGGCACCTCCACGTACTTTTTGGTGTTGACGCAGAAGACTCCCAGGCACTGCATTGTCTCCTTCCCCCAGGCCATTCCCAGGCACCCAACCGCAGTGAAGACTGTGCCCACGGCACAGAAAGCGGCCAGCCCCAGTGTGTTGTGCCACATGCGCAGCATGGCGCTCACACCCACATACAGCAGCGTCACACCGACAGAGAAGCACGCGGTGAACAGCAGCAGGCCAATGAACGTGAACACGTCGTAACCAACCCAACCACTGTCATAGGACTCCTGGGGATGAAAGTAGTCCGCACGGTGCCACCACGCAAGGCCCATCGAGGCAATTCCGCTGCAAATCCCGCCAACAGCCGTCAGTCCCAGCGTCACCAGGTGATTATCTTTACGGCACTGGGCTTGCGGCAGGAAGGGGGTGTCGGCGCTCATTGCTTGTGGCAGTCTTGTAGGACTAAGTATGCTTGTGTATGTGTATGTGTATGTGTGTGTCTTTACGGCTTTTCTATCATCAGCGGATAGCCCAACAAGCGTGGACAGCACGGGGTAGTGGCAAGAAAGTGCAAGCAGCTAGAACGGGATGACCTCAAGGGAAAGAAAAGCCCCTTCGCTCACTTTCTCTCTCTCTCCTCCCCCCCCCCAGACGAGAGGCGACCACGCCGCCGGAACCTCAACAGGCGGTGGCGAGGTGGCCACCCGCAGAAACGCAGGCCCCACCAGCTGGTCCGCCTCTTTTTGGCTGCGTGGAAATAATCGCGTCCAATTCGTGACATGTCG